CCTCCGAGATCGAACGACCAACCTATGGCAGCCTCTCCTCCTCCTCCTCCTCCTCCTCCGACTCCTCTTCCTCCCTTTCTCCTTCTCCTCCTCCTCCTCTTCCTCCTCGACCCCCGCTCCTCCTCGAGCCTCCGAGCCTCTGAGATCGAACGACGCACCTCTGGCAACCATCTCCTCCTCCTCCTCCTCCTCCTCCTCCTCCTCCTCCTCCTCCTCCTCCTCCTCCTCCTCCTCCAGCGCGCCGCGCCCGAGCGCCTCTTGGCCCTGGCTGGGCCGCGGCCCCTCCCCCCGCCGCCCGGCCCGGGGGCCGCTGGGGGGGGGGGCGCGATGTCCCATGCCCGGCGGGCCGGAGCGCCGAGGGGGGCGGCCGCTTCGGGGGCAGCGTGCGGGGGTCTGGTCGACCCCGAGGGGGGTCCGGCGACGGGGGGGTGCTGCAAGTATCGGGGGTTGCTAGAAGTGCCCCTGGGCCAAGGTGCCCCCAGGATTCTCGGGGTAGCCCAAGCGGCTTCCAAAGCACCCCTCACGAGGCCCAGAGGGCCCCAGGGGCTCCAGGATGGAGCGAAGAGCTGGGGGCACCTTGGGCCAGGGGTACTTCTAGCAGCACCCGAAATTAGCTTTGGTGCAATGGATTTGGGGGGGTGGCAACAGAGTTGGGGCGCGCGATGCATTCCGGTGCGCAGATGTACTGCTGGGTTTTCGCGCGCAAGACGTCGGTTGCAATACTCTCCACTACAATTCTCTGGCGCAGTACGTCTGCAATACGTTTGCCCGAGATCTATAGCACCACCCCCTCTCAGCTGGACCCCCGTTTGGGTCAACCAGAGGGGGGGGATAGGCCCGCCTCGCCGTGCCTCCTCCTCCTCCTCCTCCTCTTCGTGCTCCTCCCTGCCGCTCTCCCCCTGCCTGCGGGCAGCGTCTGTATCCCTGTCCCGTGCGTCTTGGACCCCCCTTGGAAGGGGCGCCGCAAGGCCGAGGCGCACTGGGCATATGGACAGACGTCGGGCCTCTGCAGGGGCCAGAGTCTTGTGCACAGCCAGTGCGCCTCGGGGCTCTCTGGGGGAGGGAGCCCGAAACTCCGAGCTGCAGCGGACGCGGGCACAGTGTCCTGCCCGCACCGATCCCCTCCTCGGAGCGGGGGCGTCAAGAGGGGCCCCGCGCGCCCGGTCCCCGGCGAGGTTCCGGGCGTCCCTCCCCCTCTTCGGGGGTCTCGCGAGGGGGTTGCGGGCGACTACTCAGGAAGAGGACGAGGGCGAGGAGGAGGAGGAGGAAGAGGAGGAGGGGCAACGCTGAGGGGGGTCGAACGATGGAGCGATCGAGCGTCAGGGGGGGCGGGATGGGCTCAGGGCAGGCTCCAGGTGTTCGAGGATCCAGGCTTTCGGGCGTTCTCGTCAGTTCTCGTCGGCTTCCGAGCGCGTTCCAGGGGTGCTCGGATCGTCCCAGGCGGCCGCCCGGCAGCCGAGATGCGGCCCGAGATCCAGGGAGCAGCATCAGGGAGGGATGGGCTCAGGGGGGATGCGTCGACCCACGCTCGCCCACTTCTCCGCGACAGGGGCCCGAGAGTGCCACCCCGCCCAAGACTGTGCGGATTCGCCGTCCGGGGCCGCTGATTCCAGGTCGGTGTTGCCCCCCCCCCGCCCCCCGAGCGGGCCTCCCCTGACCTGCAGAGTCCACAGCACAACAAGCAGCAACCAGCACGAACAGGATCGCCTGGAGGCCCGCGCGGAGTTCTCGGATGATCGGCGGCGGGCCCCCCTGGCGGCGGCGGCGCCTCCCGCCCGCGCCGCCCCTGGCGCGCTCCGCGCGCTGGGGAGTGGGCTTCGGCGCCGCATGGACCTCCGAGAAATCTTGCTTTTGTGCCTGTCGTTGCTCAGGAGGGGAAAAAACACACAGACACAATTAATCGTCGATTCCCAGGGAAATATGGGAAAATATGGGAATTGGGCGGGAAGACAAAAACCCAGAAAATATTGAAAAATATGGGGAATAGTTTTATTTGTGTGTATTTATTTGTGTGTCCCAGGGCCCCTTCAGTTGCCCTCCCCAGGCTGGGCTTCGAGGCTCGATTCTCCCAGGGCCTGCTTCTGCGGGGCGTGCCTGTGCTCCCGGAAGCTCCCCCCAGCCTCGCGAGGCGCCTTCAGCAGCTGCGCCTCGCCGAGAGCGTTCAAGCAGGGGTGCCCGAAGCAGATCAGGAGGGAAGGAAACACACAGACACAATTCATCGTCGATTCGCCAGAAAATATGGAAAAATATGGGAAGTGGGGGGGGGGAAAGACAAAAACACAGGAAATACGGGCAAATATAGGGGAATGTTATTATTTGTGTGTATTTCTTTGTGTGTCCTGGGGCCCCTTCAGCAGAGTGCGCCAGGGGCCAGAGGTGTGACCCTCAGAGCCGTGGTTTCTGTTGCCATGTTCGGCCCCCGAGGGCCGGCTCTGTCCAGGAGCGAGAGAAGGGCGTGCGTTTGAGTCGGGCGCGTCGTTCTACAGGAGAGTAGTCAAGA